GATCTTAGCTCTCTGTCTAGCGCTCCCTCTGTTGTCAAAGTGTAGAAATTCTCCACTGACGGTTTTAGAACAAAGGGAAGATTTTCATCTATAGAACAGACAACCTGTTGGTTTTGTCCGGAGTCTGCATCTGATACACTAAAGACTGCCACCATGATCTCTGGCAGGTTTTCAGAGATGGGGCTAATGAGTGAGGACATGGTCAATTGGGGGGCATTATCATTCATATCCAGAACCTTGATGACTAAAGAGCATTTCCCGGATAGTCCCCCACCATCTATGGCTTCAACATCCACGTGATAAGATTTTAATTCCTCAAAATCCAGCATCCTTCTTAGTCGAATTTCTCCTGTAATTGAGTTTATTTCGAAGGGCTGGTTTATGTCATCGACTTGAAATAGGGAGTAAGATACCTCCCCAAAAGATCCTGCGTCTAAATCTCTTGCAGAGACCGTGATAACCAAAGAGCCAAGCGGTTTGTTTTCAGGAATCCGCACCTCATAGAATTCCTGAGCAAACTCCGGGGCGTTGTCATTGCTGTCCAAGACCAGGATCTGAATCCTGATAGTCCCGGACCTTGGGGGAGTCCCGCCATCCAGTGCTGTGAGGGTTAACCTGAGTTCAGGCTGCTCCTCATGGTCCAAGGCTTTGTCCAGTACCAGCTCGGGGAACTTCCTGCCATCGCTGCGATCGCGAGTGAGAACGTGAAAGTGAGGGTCCGAGCTGATTGTGTAGCTCTGAAGACTGTTGCTACCAGCATCTAAATCTTGGGCCATTTTCAAAGGAAATATCTTCCCTGGTGTAGTAATTTCTGATATTTTTAGTAGCATTTCTTTGGCTGGGAACTCAGGGGCATGGTCATTTATATCTTTGATTTGTAAAGTAGCCTGAAAAAACTGCAAGGGATTTTCCAGTAACACTTGAAAGGGTAGCAAGCATGGTTCAGTGAAGCCGCACAGCTCCTCCCGGTCCAGCTTCTCATTTACCCGCAAATCATAGGTCTGTGGGTCAATCTGCAAGTGCTGCCGGTTCCCCTTGAAAACAGCCCGGGCGCCCCGCGCAGCCAGTTCTCCCACCCCGAGTCCCAGGTCTTTTGTCAAGCTGGCCACAAACGTGCCACTTTCCTGCTCCTCCCAGACAGAATACTGAATCGATTCTGAACCCACCTCCCACCAAAACACCAATATAATGAAAATGGCCACTTGCCTTTTCTTGCGATGTTCTTTTGTTTGCATCATCTCTATCGTCGTGTCTGCTGCCAGAAGAAAAAAATCCTTTTCTACTCCCAGTCGCCAACTCCACTGTCGACCCCCAGAATGTCCTTGCTGTAGAATTTCCAGATAACTTGCCTGTCAGTGACTGTCTTCCTGAGCACGCCTAACTTAGCTTTTACTGTAAATGTGTTCTGTGTTTTTCCCACTTGGGCTTCACGGTGTAATGGAGTCCACTGAAACTGCACATCTTTTTCTTCACTGTCTTAGCCTGCACTGCCACCACGCGTACAAATCATGAAGTGCTTGTTCAAAACCACATCCCTAAATCGCAGTACTTTCATTTATAGATCAAGTCAGTGTTTCTCTCAAACTATAATGTTTCAACCACATTCATACACAGTTACCTGAGAACTTGTTTTCTTTTCTCAAATTCAACTCCTGGTCTCCTTCCCCTTTCAGATCTTGAATCAAATTTAAATCTCAGTTTTTTTCTTTGATTCTCATGTATGTGAACATTTAAGGATCACTCCTTCATGTGATGTAAACTCCCTGTAATAAACTTTTATTCTGAGAAGTCTGAGAAGTACACCATTTAATTGTTCCAATCAACTATACAAAATCAAGAAATTGGTAACACCAATAGTAAAATAAGCAATAATTTCTATGAATTATATGACCAAATATAACCAAATTAAATTATTTAGAAGAGGCGATGGGAGCAACTAAGTATCTTTCATAAATAAACATTTTAGGATTTCAGTTAATTTTTGTATGGGTAGAATGGGTCACTATTTTACTAGATCTATTCATTTTATTGTAGTTTTTGTCAAATTCCCCTTAAAGATTAATTAAGACATAAATACATTATCCTATTGTAAGAACATAATTCAATACAGAAAGCAAACATTCAAGAATCACCTCTACTATTCTCTATGAATGGCACAAGGAATATAGTGGAATTCTATGATGGAATACTTGTAGCTATATGCATCCCTATCTTACCAATTTCTACTTAAAATGAGACTTCCTTGAGGATATGAATAACAAGTTACAAACTGATGAAGTAAAATGGACACTCATAGATATCTTGGATGGATTTTGCTCTTTCTCAGAAGCAAAAGTATTTCCAGTTCAATCCTAGATGCTTTTTCCTTTCAGGGGGCATGCAGATGCCAGTTTAATGTTCTCATTCACATCTGCTGAGTGTTTTATTAATTCTCTTTGTATGTAGAACCACCAGGTATCCTCATATTTAATTTTCTGCATTTTTCATCTTTAGGCAAATTACATTAGTGCCACTAATATAAACCATTGCTTCCAAGAGCATTGGTTGTTATGATAGAGACAACCATCTTAATTTAAAAGTCAACATCTTAATTTAATCCCAAAAGATATCAGCTGGGTATGTGGAGAAGCTCCTTATTTATAGAAAATGGACTATTCTGGATTCCTTCAGAAGAATGCTTCTGTTTTATTCTCTTGTTTTACTATGATTTTCCAGAGTAGAGTTGAACTGGCTGCTTTTATATACATGTTTCCAGGGAATAATCCAATTTATATAATTTTGTTGAAAAAGTCCATCACATACAAAGTAAAATGCATAAACTCCCATGTGCACATCACTCAGATTCACAACATTCTGCCTATACCTCCGAATGTATTATTGCTAATTCTCTCTCTGGTTGTACTATCAGTTGTTAAAAGAGAGGGTGTTGAAGTCTCCAACTTTAATTTGGATCTGTTTCTTCTTTCAATTCTGTTGGGGCTCTGTAAACATTTCTTAAGGTAATGCTTATAAAAGCTGAAATGCATAAATCTTAATACCATTGGAATGCATGGATCTATCCATGAAACCCACACCTCTTTCGAGATACAGAACATTTCATCATTCACTGAGAGTTATCTTAATCATTTTTAATTAAATTTTAATAATTTCATGGCAAAATCTTGGTTTCCTCTAGAAAGGTAAGCAATGTTTCTTTTTTTTTTTTAAGTACCTTTTCTTGCTCTTTATGCCAATATATGCCAATATAGATAGTTTGAAGATTAATTTAGCTGGATTATTACCTGTGAGTTGAAATAGTACTTTAGCTTGTGAAACATTGTACAGTAAGGTAAATTTGACTTGATTTAGTTAGTTTGTAATTATTGCATAGTTGACCCAGCTGTTTTCCACTTTTGTGCTATGATTTGTTTTCCTTTCAATTATACTAGTTAAACATTTTTCAAGTGTAATAAAAATTAAAGATTAAAGACTAAACATCAAGGATGAGTAGGATCTCTCATACGTCTTCTTTAATTTACTTATGTGCAAAAAATATAGAGATGATATATAAACGGTTGCCTAAACCTTCTAATTGCTGAAAGACACCTCAGAAAATCTTCAAAATATAAATGATTTGGCACTAAATACATTTGAACTCTCAAATAGTTGAGGAAGACTTTTTGTTAGTCTTGCTATTTGCCAGTTTTATTATTATTTTTTTTTTTCAAAAACCAACTGCTTCACTAATTTTTTTTTCAATTTTGGGAGGTTTCTTTGATTTCCACTATTGTTTTTATTTTTATTTTCTTCTGTTTCTTGTTAATTTTTCCTTTTCTAGATTCTTGAAGATGGGGCTTAGATAATTGATTGAAAACTTCCCCTTTTTTAGTGCTATGAATATAAATTTCCCTCTAAATAAGCTGTGTTACAACTTTTGATATATGTTATATTTTCATTTCTAATTTGACATATAATTTTGTTTCCTTTAAGTCTTTTGTCTTTGACCTATACATTAATTAAAAGGGTGTTGATTAGTTTCCACATAGTTGAAGATTTTCCTGTTTGTTCAATTATAGATTTTGTTTAGTTTATTCCATCGTGACTGGAGAATCCATACTGTATGATTTTAATTCTTTTTGTTTGAAGTTATTTCAGGACCTTGTTTATGTGATCATATACAGATCCATTGTATGTGTTCTGTGAGCATTTTAAAAATGTGTTCTATTGTTGTTGGCTCTATGGTTATTTCTTAGGCATGGATTATATCCTAAGAATTGATGGCATTGTTGAGTTCTATATCCTTGCTGATTTTCTGTTTTATTGTTCTGTCAGTTATTGAGAACACTGACATTTCCAACTTGTAGATATATTTTTAGTTTTATTGGCTCTTGCCTCACATATTTGAAACTCAGTTTTATGCATATTTAGGGTTGCTATGTCTTCTTTATCTCTATGTCATATTCCACCCTGTCTCTGGTTATTTTTTCTCTGAAAACTACTTTACTTGCCGTTAGTATGCCCACTCTTGTTTCATTTTCATTAACATTTGCATAATATATTTTCCCACCCTTTTTCTCTCAGTCTACTTATATCATTTTATGTGAAGTAAAATTTCTTATAGATAGCATATAATTGGTCTTTTAAAAAACCTATCTGTCAATCTCTGTTTCAATTAATGTGTTCAGACCATTTACATTTAATGTAAGTACTGACATATTAGAGCTTCAGTATGCCATTTACCTTTTTGCTCTGATTTTTTATTTGTTTCTCTTTTTTATTTCTTGCCTTCTAGAACATTTTTTAGAATTTCATTTTGATTTCCCTAGGGATTCTTAGTACAGCACTGTATATAACTTTCTTAGTAGTTGCTCTATACAAAATTGATCATAGTGTACCTGTTAGCACTTTACCAGTTCAAGAGAATGTATGTAACTTAAAAATACATATATTTAGAACTGCTTCAAGCAATGTTGTAATTTTGGGTTCAACCATCAAACATAAATGAGAAAACTCAAAAGAAAATACAAAGTTTATTGTATTTATTCAAATTTTTGTTTACTATGTTCCTCTTTCCTGATGTCCAATATTCATGTTTTTTCTTTTAACTAATTCCTTTCTTTTTGGAGAACTCCTATAGCCTTCTTTACGGTAGGCTTACTGGCAACACATTTTCTAGCTGAAGTATATTTTTCATTTGATCTTAGTCAAAAGGCCAAGAAGCGATAAGGTATATTTTCAAATGGCTGTAGAACTCTGAGTTGAGTTGACAGTTCTTATCCTTTAACTCTTGAAAAGTATTTTTGCCACTTTATTCTTACCTCTGTGATTTCTGACAATCTACTGTCATTCAAATCTGATCATTCTATGGGTAATGTGCCTTCAAGATGTTTTCCTGTTCTTTAGGTTTCAAAAAATTGACTATGTTATCTCTTGGTATGATTTTTCTATCTTTATCTTATTTTGGATTTGTTTGGCTTCTTCACTCTGTGTTTTTGTTTGTTTGTTGCCACCTTTGGGAAGCTTCATCCTTTCTTAACTGGGAATTCAGTGACACAGATGTTATACTTCCCGTTATTATCCACAGATCCACCAGACTTGTTCATTGCTTACAGTATGTTTTCTGTTGTTCAGTTGACTGTTGTATCTTCTAGTAGTTCACTGATTCTTTCTTTGTCTACTCTAGTCTGCTATTGAGTTTATTCATTGAGTAGTTAGTTTCAAAGATTGCATTTCTATTTTCTAAAAGTTCTGCTGGTATTTCTTTATATATATTTCTTTTTTTAAAGATTTATTTATTTATGCATATAAGAACTCAGGTTCAGACCAGGCAGGATTCACCAGAGACGGAGTGGGGAGCAGAACAGGCAGATGTACTGAAATACACTGCTGAGGAGAGCAGCAGGTGGGCAAATCAAGAGTGGTCTGCAGGGCCTTGTGGGTCACCTGCTTGACCAGGGATCGAACTTCAGTTGCAGTGGCTGTGGAGAACTTCATAGTGCTGCACTTAGCCACTTAAGCCACTGGGAGGGTCTTATATCTTTATTTCTTTGGTGCAACTTTACAATTATTTTCTGAGACTCTCTTTTTCATTTGTTTCCAGTATGTTTGTAATTGCTTGTTGAAGCACTTTTTGAAGTCTGTGTTTTAAATCTTTGCAGGTAATTCTAACAGCTTGGTCTTCTGTTGGTATCTATTAATTGTCAATTTTATTCACTATGCTATCTTCTTAGTGGTATGACCCAGATTTATCTCCCTACATGTATGTATACACAAAAGAAACTCTTTTCAAAGGGTTTGAGGGAGGTATATTGAAGAGTGCTTATAGTTTCACTGTTTAGAGTAACAAAACTCTTAGAGCCACCCAAAAGTCAATCACTATTAAAGTGAATTTAAAGGTAAAGGTATATACAATTGAATATT